TATTATTATTATTATTATTATTATTATTATTATTATTATTATTATTATTATTATTATTATTATTACTATTATTATTACTATTATTATTATTTTAAAAATTTTTTTTAAAAAATTTATATATTAACAATTTATTTATTTATTATTTAGTGACGGTAAATTATTATGCACTATTTATAATACTATTGTAAGACGATCTAAGAGACCATTTGGTTTTATTGATAAAATTCATGAGGATACATTGAGAACTTATCGTGCAACTGAAAATTTGAAATTCTTTGCGGCGTTAGTAGATTATTATCATTATTATTTATTATTATTACCGTTATGATTAGAATGTGTTTTTAATTAATTAAATTCAATTAAATTAATATTTACCATTAATTGATTACAGTGCTGCAAAATTCAGATTTGATATAAAATTTGATGAATTTAATGTAGCAGAGATTGTTAAATTAACTGACAATGGAAAAACTCAAGTAAGTTGATAAAATAAAATATTAATTAATTAATATTCTCTCTCTATGCAACAGAATAAATATATATTTACTAATAAAATAATTATTAATAAAGCTGGAAAAAGCTTTAGAAATATTTTGTGAGAAAGCAATGCAAGAACTTATATCAACTGGTTTACATCGTCAAATTCCTTTATCAAGAGCTTCTTCAATGTACATGCAAGATGTCTTTTCAAATTCCCAAATACAACTTCTTCAACGAGTTGCCACAAATTCTAATGCTGGCAATATCTTATCAGATCCTACAAATTTAGCTGCAGCTGTTAGTGCTAAATTATCAATTCAGACTAATAACAATAATGAATAATAATAACAACAACAAGAACAATGATAATAAAGAAGATATTTCGTAATTTGCAAGATCTTTTAACAAATATAATGTTCTTGATTTTTAGTTATTTTTTTTTATGATTTTATTAATTATCCATTTAAAAAAACATTACCATATATATATAATTTAGCATTTTTTTTCATTAAATAAATAATAGAATTTGTGGCATCTATTTTTATAAATTAAATATTAAGATTTTATTTTTGGGAATCGCTGGACGACATATATTTTTTTAAAAGTAAATCATTATAATATAATAATATTTGTATAGCTTCTTTTTAATATATTATTTCACATGAACAATTGGTTGGGTTTTGTGTTAATACTATTATTATTGACAAAGAAAAACAAAGGATTTTGTTTTATTGATGTTTTTGACGAACTAATAATAAATAAATTGATCTTTAAATATTTTAATTTTTATTTTAAAAATTTATTCTAATAAAATAAAATAAATTATAATTTACAATAAATAAATTACTTTTTCTTCTTAAAAAATTATTGAAAAAATTAAGGTATTATTAATTAATACTAATTATAGGAAAATAAATATAAGCATAATATAAATAAATATAAAGATGGTTCAACCAGTTGTTGTCGTTTATTAATATGCCACACTTCGTCTGAATCTTTTTACAGGTGGTGGTGGAAGACCTTTAGTGTCAATGTTTACTAGTGGTGGTGGTGGAAGACCTTTAGTGTCAATGTTTACTGGTGGTGGTGGTGGAAGACCTTTAGTGTCAATGTTTACTAGTGGTGGTGGTGGAAGACCTTTAGTGTCAATGTTTACTAGTGGTGGTGGTGGAAGACCTTTTGTGCGAGCAATCAAATTATTTGTATTATCTTTTGCAGTTGGTGTAGCAGTATTTGAAGGTGATTTAAACAAATCTGACGTTCCTGCAATTTTCAATGGAACTGCGCTTTGTTTAAAATCAAGACTTGTAGGGTAATTACCAATTGATACCTTCGCGGTTAATGTAATATCAAAAGCGAGAGAATCGGCAGGTTGTGAAGCTAATTTTTGCATTCCAACAAGATCTGCTCCAGCTCCAAAAGAAAATGGCATCGTTAGTTCTGTTGTTTCACCTGCTTTAATAGTAGGCTCTTTTGGAAGATCCGATACACTAATTGACCCTAAATTATTCCCTCCGATATTTGCTGTTGCTTCAACACCATGGACGACAATATCTACTGGAAATTGGTTGGTTACCGATGCACTTATCGTGGAGCTTTTGTCTGCAGCAAAACTTTTTGCATCAAAATTGAGTGTAAGACTGTTGAGCCCAGCAGTTTGATTTCCACTAGGAGGAAGACCTGAAAGAGGGAATGGTAGTTCAAGTGAAAGTTGAGAAAATGGTATTTGTAACCATGGTACTGGGCCGCCAGCATTTGGTGGATCGACTGATTTACCAGCTATTTTCAACAATGGTTGTTTACCACTACTTATTATTTCAAATATTTTTTCAATTACTGAGAAATCTGTTATTTCACCAGTAAAAGTAATATTGGTGTTGGCTTTTGGTGCAAGTAAAACATTGTTGCCGGTAATTGGTGATACAGGTGTATCTTCTACGGACGTGTCAAATACTATAGTTCCCAACTCGATTCCAACATTTGAAGGATTTATCAATGTACTGTCGATAGTAAAAGGCAGTCCTTTGCCGTCGCCCCCTTTTCCATAAACGATATTGTTTATCTTAATTCCATCTTTTAATCCATTAAATCCTATCAAAGGAACCGTCTTATCAAATGGTATACCTGCGATAGGGACTTTGCCAACTTCAATCACCATATTATCAGTTTTAAGTTCCCAACTTACAGATGGTTGTTTCAATAAATCACCAGTGAATTTAGCTAGTCCAGTTATATCTTTGACTGTGAAAAAAGCAACTTGATCTATTTTAGCTGTGACGTTTGGTTGTACGCTAATAGGTTCCATTTTAGTATTACCAATCACACCTCCATCATATAAAACATCAACACCATCTGGATAATTGAGTGTTGCAGCAAAAGGACCAGTCTTTGCGATTTCACCAGCCATTTTGACATTAAAACTACTGGCTGTGATTTGAGTAATAAGTGCTGTGTCAAGAGTTAAAACACTTTCATCAGTTAGTTTAGGACCTTGGATTGGAAGAGTAACACTGATTTTCTTGATTGGTTCATTCAACCAGCTAACCGGGCCATTTTTTGTCACGACAGAGTCACCAACATTTTGGAATGGTACAGGTTCACCGGCAAGGAAAAGCTTGAAAAGTTTTTCTAATGCTGCTGAGGTTTCTGGAGATGTTGGAGGAAGAATTTGACCATTAAGAGTCAAAGGTACAGTAGTACTAGGTAAAAATGTTGCATTTGTGGCCGCTATGGGTCCAATAAATGTTCCTTCGAAAAACATATTGAAATTTACAGTTCCAAGATCTACACCGACTACTGCTTCATTTTTTAAATTTACTTGGACACTTACCGCCATTCCGCCTTCAGGTGTAACACCAGGTAGTGAGAAGCTAACAACTTCAATATCGTTGAGGAAACCATTTGCGCCAGCCAAATCAATAGTTTTAGAAAGACTAATATTTGGTATTGATAAATCTAATGCACTGACAGTAATATTATTTGCAGTCATTGTCCAACTTGCACTCTTGCTAGTCAAAATTTGGTCGGTAAAGCCAGCTAAAGCTTGAGCATTTGTAATCTGAAATGGTGATTGTTGTATATTAAGAATAGCTTTACCATCGGCTGCTTTGATATCAGGTAAAGCCATTTTACCGAATTCTGCGTTATTGGAAGATAAGATTGCACCATTTCCGAATGAAATAGTAGCATCAAAAGGTCCAGAATCATCAATTTCGCCGGAGATATCAGCGCTAAATGCAGTTTCGCTTGGATTTTCAATAAAGATTTTGCTGAAGCTGATATTTGAACCATCAACAACTTTTTGTACAATTGGTGTTGAAAGAGCAGAGATCAGGAGAGAGATTGAGTCATCAGTTGAAGTAGCTACACCGAATTGAACATATGACATCTCAAATGTATATTCTCCCACTGTTATGGTGGATTTCATGTTGACATCAACAGTCATCGCATTAAGTGCTTGCTTGGCATAATCAATCATATTAAAATTTTTAAAAATCGATGGATCAACACTTTTAAGGTCGATTGGTTTAAAACCTTCAACACCAGTAATTCCACCAAGTGTCAATAAAACATCAATTGGAGTTAAATCTAGGCCGGCTTCTTCAGCAGATGTACGCATAACGTTGAATAAAAATATTGGATCGATATTTAATGTTACCGGTAAACCGGCAATTTCAGTAGTTTTATTTCCAGCAGCAACTATTGGAGTTGGTAAATTATTTATGTTCATAGTGGCCAATTGTTTTCCGTGAAATCCTAATGTTGATTGGATCGCTGAAATAGAAAGGTCGGCTGCGAAAGGATTTATGAGATCGACAGAAGCTTTAGCAATACCATTTTTAGCAGTGTCAGGTAAAATTCCTAATGATGTTTTCCCTAATAATTTGGTAGTTAATGGTGGTAATGCGCTGGATATTCTTAGAGAAGTAAGAGCGCTTGTCAAACTTGAAATTGTTGTTGAACCTTCATAACCACCAATTTCTATGGTTGCTTGAGTACCATTAAGGAAAGAATTTAAAATTTCTTGAGCACTTGGATTATTCTTTGGATCAAGTGTTGCCGTCACAGTCAAATTACTATCACCAGGAGTGAGTAATAAATCAGCAACATGTGCAAAGCCAACTGTTTGATTATCTAAGAACATTTCAAAGTCCACGCTACCAGCATCAAGAGTAAAATTTGTAGGATTGAACAAGTCTACATTAAGGCTCATAACCAAACCATCTTTTGTACCGCCAATAAGATTCAAATTACTAATTACAGGTGCTTTAACACCAAAACCTTGAAAACCATTTAATGTTGTTGTTGTGTTTAGAGGAATTCCTGTTAACGTCAAATTTCCGATGACAGTATTTGCAACGACATTCGATGTACCAACTATTTGGAAGTCAAGTGCACTGCCCAATGTTAAATTTTTAAGAAAATCTTGAAATATTTGTTCACCGGCATCAGTTTGTACTGCTGCTAATGGAGTTGCCGGTATATCTATAAAAATTCTACTAGCATCATTTGTTGCTGGTCCAAAACCGCTTGTTAGTGAAGCAATTTCTAATTGATCTTGAGTGAAAATTTTGATATCTTGTGAAACTTCTGTTACTTGTAAACTGATGTCAAAGGGTAGTACGTAATCAGCTATAGTTCCGTTTGAAGAAGCTATTGGAGCATAAGCACTATCATTGGTGAATACCAATTTCATTTGGCCAAAATCAACACCGGTAATAACTTTAAATGGTTGAGCTGAGGCTAATTTAGCATTGAGTTGTAACCCTTGTACAATAGTATTCAACCAACTGACAGGAGCACCTGAACTAGGTGTTGCTGAAACACCTTTAGCCAATGCAGAACCACCTTGTCCCTGTATATAAGATGTTACAAACCCTGCAATATTAGCTTTGTCATTGTCAGTTTGAGGAGGTGTGACGCTTCCTCTCATATTGATTGTATTTTCACCGGGAACTAAGGTGAAGCTATCAGTTGTTACAGGGGCAACCATTGTAGAATTGTAGTAAACTTGCAGTCCCAATATTCCAAGTTCCATACCGACTGGAGAAGGATTTTGTAATACAGCAGTGACAAATAAATCCAGTGTATTTGTTGCATTATTTTGTGTGATGGTGAGGTTCTTTATGACTGTATCTTGAAAACCATTTGCACCTTTAAGAGTGACAATTTTGTCTAATGGCAATGTTTTTGATAAATGAAGAGATTGAAGTTGAATTTTCACCTTTCCTTTAAGCTCCCAATCGACAGTTTCCGAAGTTAATAGATCGGCTGTGAATGCTATCAAGTTACTAGGGTCGGATATTGCAAAAGTACTTTCATTGGCGCTCATTTGACCATTACCATTTTTAATATTCACGCCATTCATATTCATTGTACCAAGAGGGCCACCCTTATAATATACAGTGACAGGATCTGGGAAATCTACTCTAACTTGAAAAGCACCACCATTGGTAACATTGCCAGCAAGATCCATTTTGAAATTTGTTTCCTGTGGATCTTCTATAAGTAAACTATTAACATTGATGGTGGATCTGTCCATTGTTTTTTTGGCAATTGAAGGGAATACTACCAAAAAGAATATAGGAAGCAAAATGATTAATAGTATGATTGATACTAGAGAGCAAATTGCCCAAAACCGTTTTTTCTTATAGAATGGTTGTGAATCCCTGGATTTATCCATATTTTCTTCGTCTTCGTCATCGTCATCATTGTTATCATTGTTGTTAGAATCTCGGTTAGCTTCTATATTATGAAAATTATCAATTTGTGAAGAATCATCGTAAGAATCTCTTTGACTAGTTGAATCTGAACTGCTATCGCCGGCATCAGTGCTATAAGTGACAATTGAATCTATAAGTTCGGAATTTGTATCTTCATCTGTGGTGGTTTGTGTAGTATTCGATTCTTCCGCCATATTCTATGATTGTATGTGTGAATGTTTATGAGTGATGGAGAATGTGTGTATATATATATATAAAGAGGAATATTTTATGTGTATTATAAAAGTACGTGAGTTTTTTTATATATGCGTTTTTTATTCGTGATGATTTGTGTGAATGCGTGTATTTATGATATTAAATTTTTCTTTATAAAAATTTATCAACGAAGACTTTTTTTTTCGCTTCTATCAAGGAAGGAGAGTCATAAAAATTAAAAGGAAGGAATAAAAGAATGGGCGAAGTTGTTGATGATGGTGTAATATTGGTAGGAAATTTATTGTTATTATTTTGACGACAACGACGACAAGTCCTTCGTCAAGAAGAGAAAAAAAAGGTCCGCGATGATTTTTCTTCTAGTGAAAAAAAAAATCGATTAATTATTTAACATAAAGATTGAAGTGGGGAGAAAAAATTAAATTGAAAGAAATGATTCATGATATATTTAAATAACAATTTTCATCATATAAAAATTTATTTATTATTATAATTTTCTCCATTAATCTTATCGGGAGTTTCCTTCTTTGTCAAAAAGCAATTAATTCATATGATTTTTGTGTTTATTTTTTTTTTATGTATATTAAAATCACTCATTCAATTAATTCATTCTTAATTTAATTTTTTTGTAGATCCAACGTGAAATAACAATTTTTTAAATTCCTTTGACTAATACAAATTCGTCCCCACAGGCTCTCGATATAGTGAAGCGTAAAAAGATCATCATCACAAGCACCATTGTATTAAATAATACAAAATGGGAAATTTTCATACAGCCATGTGAGACGAGTTGCGCCCAACGTACATTTAAATAAATGTTTTAATTTGCCAACTACTAAAAAAAATTTTTTTTTTTTCAAAATTTGCTGTTCTATTATAGTCATGAATTTAACTTATACAAAAATAGAAGATTTATCTCGAGTAAATAAATGCAAACATTTACTGATAATGTTTTTTGATAATGATAAAATAATAATTATTATATTTTAAAATAGATTGTAAATGATCTACAAGAATCCTTTAAATCAGGATCAACAAAACCCTTGGAACATAGGAGGGAACAATTAAAACAACTTTGGGTTATGATTGATGAGAATGAGGAAGATATTTGTGATGCATTATGGAGGGATTTACACAAGTCAAAATTTGAATCTTCTTTGGGCGAATTAATATGGGTTAAACAAGAATCTCATGAAGCAATTAATAATTTGAAAAAATGGTCAGAATCTGAATATGTTAAAGTTGGTTTGAGTCATCAATTGAATAAATGTCATATAAGAAAAGAACCAAAAGGTTGGAAAATAATACTATCATCGTCATAATTATATTTATTATAATAATAACAAATAATAATATTGTTATTGTTATTATTATTAATCATTAATATTAATATACTTGATCATTTTTATTATTAGGGAATGCTTTGATTATAGGATCCTGGAATTACCCCATCAATCTTTTATTGGTCCCTCTTATCGGTGCGATTGCTGCGGGTTGTACAGCTATTTGCAAACCGTCTGAACTTGCACCAAATGTTGCAAAACTTCTTGCAGAGTTATTTCCAAAATATCTTGATCAAAATTGCTATCGAATAGTCAATGGTGATGCACAAGTTGTCAGCTCGTTGATACAAAATCATAGATTTGATCATATTTTCTACACTGGATCTGGAACCGTTGGCAAAATCATAATGTCTGCTGCAGCAAAACAATTAACTTCTGTGACATTGGAATTAGGTGGCAAAAGTCCTGCTATTGTTGCTGATGATGCTAACATCGAGATCACTGCAAAGCGTTTAATTTGGGGGAAAACTTATAACTCTGGTCAAGTATGTAAAATACTATTATGATTTATTAGTTATATAATAATAATAATTTATAATTCATAAATTTTATAATTTTAAAGACATGTATTTCACCTGATTATATTGTTTGTACAAGATCAACACAAGAGGCTCTTATCAAAGAATTTCCAAAAGCAATCGAAAAATTTTTTGGAGAAGATCCAAGTAAAAGTCAATATTATTGTCGAATGATCAACCAAAATCACTTTGATCGTGTGATAAATGTTTTTAATCAAACCAATGGCGATGTTGTGATTGGCGGCAAATACGATAAAGAAGATCTATATATTTCTCCTACTGTAATATCCAACGTTTCAAAAGATGATAAATTGATGGAATGTGAAATCTTTGGTCCAATTCTTCCTATTATGATCGTTGATGATTTGGATGAAGCAATTGATTATATAAATAGTAAAGATATTCCATTATCACTCTACATCTTTACTAAAAATGACAAGACTAGCCAATATCGTGAGTTCATAATTGAATATTTGAATATTAACTATTAATTTTTACTAATTTTTTGTTATTATTATGGTGTTTATGTTTAGTGACTGACAAGATTAGGTCAGGTGGTGTTTGTATTAACGATTGTTTGATGCATTTCACCGGTAAATTTAAACTTGTCACTATTATTATTCTAATTATTGTATGAATTACAATGTTTCCCACTCTTGCTTGTTCTTCTTATTCATATTTTCCATTTTTTTTTTTTAAAAAGTATCAACATTACCATTTGGCGGCTTAGGGCCATCAGGAATCGGTTCATATCATGGTAAAAAATCATTTGACACATTTACCCATGAAAGATCTGTATTCGCTTCTCCTTACTATTTGGAGAAATTGATGGAGTTGCGTTATCCACCTTACAAAGATAAAAATTACAAAATATTACATTGGATTTTTTTCTCTGACCCAAAATATAAGAAAAACAAACCGATCAACGGCAATTTCTATACCTCCTGGTTTAAAAAAGCTTTATTTATATTATTTGTTGCTTATGTTGCAAATAATTTTAGATTCGTTAATGATTTATATGATTATGGTTACAAAAAAATATACTAATATAGAAGTTGTACAAACATCAAATGTGAATTTTTCGCAAAGAGAATAATACATGTTAATAAATCATATAAAGGGATATCGCGTGCCAGCTTTTTTCCCCCCTGATATTTACTATTACTATCAATCTTTATTAATTTTATTAAAAATTAAAAAATTCAGAACAATTCAAAATCCATAAAAATAAACATTCTTGGGCAAAGTAGCTGTAAAAAAAAAAAAAATCAGTATGAAAACCAATATTTTTAAAGTTGGGTAGAGATCCGCGCTTTGAACCGAGGTTTACTAACAATAGTTATTTAATTTATTTAATACAAACAATATCAAAACCGCCCCCATTGATTTACACCGTATCTAGCTTAGGTTCTGTGTAAAATTTGTTCCGAGTTTTTTTTTTTAAAAAACAGATTCGATTCAAAAGATAATTTATATTATAAAAAGATCGTCACATATGTATGTATATTACACAAAATGGTAATAGTAAATTCCTTATACGGTACCGTAAATACGCACCTGAATTTTAGAAAACAAAATTATTTAAATAATACAATATAAAAATAATATATAATAATAATAAGGAGCGCAATCTAATATCATGATAATAACAGCAGGATAAAATGAATTTTAGTATGAAAAATCCACGAATTGATGACATGGGATGAAAATTTTCAATAAAAAAAAATTGAATTATGAAATCCATTCTTTAAAACTACATTAAAATTGTATCAGTTTGTATTTTAACTTCATAATCATAGTATTATAGTTAGTATCAGTTAATAAATAAAAAAATAAACAATCAAATTTAATTGAATATATTATTTGCTCAGGCTATGCTACATATGGTTATAGAACCTCAATCCAAGGATCTACAACAAGGGTTAACCTTACTATTTGAGGCGTCGATCCTAAGGTTAAACCGGTAAACCATCACCCAATCTACTAATTAAAATTGGGGTTACACATAACCACCAAACCACCCAGACACCCCTGTTAAAAGGTTGAACCTCATGTTTTGAGAATGTAGATCCTTGGATTGGGTGTCAAACAATTATATCAAAGTTACACCTTAAATGCCTTAAATGGCTAAAACTCAATTTAAAAAACATAAAAATGATGATCTTTAATTTAAAAATTGCTATACACACACACTACTCGAAATAATCTCTCTAGGAGAAAGTATCGGGAACAGGGCTGACCGCATAATAAATGACCATTTGGCTAAGCTGACTATAATATTTATTCATTATGTTAAGTTTAGTCAAGTTTAGTCGAGACAATTAATTATTACCAAATTAGGATTTTAACCCTTTACGCAGCCAATCTTGATCTGGATGCATCTTTGTTTTTACGATTACGTAGTCATAATCAGATTTGCGGATAACTTTTTTAAAAGGCTGGCGGATTACGAATCAAAATGTAGAGATTATTATTATTATTATTACTACTATCCGGATCATCTGTATTAGTATTGAATTATCTGGATCATTCAAATTAAATTACCCGGATCATCCGTATTAAATAAATCAACATAGTTTTTAAATTCCAAATAAATTTATTTCTCAAGGCATCGCGAGATTTTTTCGAATTAAAATGATTTTGCAATTCGTCTTTGAAACGCTCGAAAACAACAAAGTGGTCAAGCCTCGCGTGCTAAGCGAAGTTGTCCCAATACAAAAATTGAGCAATTATAAACTCGGTTTTTTGACACCCAATTGGAAACCTCGGATTTGTTTCCATCAATACCTAGAATTTTAGGTTATAAAAATCATTCTGAGCATTATTTCATTTCTAATGATTACTTTTATTAATGTATTTTACTAAATTTATGGAGGATCAAAAAAGTTATGCTATACTATAATCACGAATGTAATAACCGGACGATGAATAGGATGAACAGATGATATCTATTGTATTGCATAATATAACCCACATATTGCATAAATACCAACTAATCTTACTATGATTATATGTTACACGGTTTTCTATTAAGACATCTTAGAAATTCTCTCGTTATACAAAATGTTGATTTCAAGTTATTATTATATACAAGATTTCTTGAATTGTTACAAGAATACAAATATGGTGTAAAATATTCTAATTTTGTTAAGGGTAGCGCTTCGTCAAACAAGAACGGAGTGCTCAGAGTTTAATCTCTCACATGCATCCTACTAATTTGGGTTTTTAATCCATGAACAATGAAGATTTTGTTTTAAATGAATGTGAGTATATTTCCAGCCCGTTAATGATGATATAAAAAAGACTAAGGTCCTATTTAATTAATAAAGAAATGAATTATGTAGATGAAAAAAAATTTTCTATTTAATTATAAAATTTTCATACACAAATTTCTATTATGACTTAAAAAAAATTTTTTAAACTGTTTTTCTTAATAAGTTACACAATTTTTTGAATTACATCGTAAGCCTTCAGGACTTATTTAACGATTTTGGAATTAATGTAAGATTCATTCGATAAAATAAAATCATTCTTAAATTGCAAATAAATTTTTAAAAAATAAAAAATAAAACCGTTAATTTGATTTTATCCCATTCTTCGTTTAAAGCGAAGCGCTTTGGTAAAAGGCCACGTTTTATTTGCCTTAGTAAGAATAACATTGGTAACTAGTGAGTGTTAGTAAATTTATTGCTTTAATGAAGTAGTGTCCAAAGGTTAATAGGAACACTGGTAGTGTCGTTGTAAGCGTAAGGCTGTTAAACAGGCTGCTTGGGTAGTTTTGTGAATAAATATAAAACAACTTCACGGAAGCCTTTGAGCCTTGTAAAAGAGCCATCTTTATTTAATTATTTGGCACCGTTAAGCGTGCTTACAGATTTACCGAAACTTTCCAAGTACAAGAAAGAGGCAGTAAGCACCAAAGTAATTCGTAAACTAATTAATTGACATGCGCCAAATTATTCTAAATTGCTTCCAATTAACTGATAAGAATCTAAAAATTGTTCCTGAAAATTGTTCACCTCTCAGAATGTGATTGCATATGTATTTAAAGTAAAAGAAACAGCATTATCTAATAAATCTAAAAATATTTGATATTCAATATTACTGACTATTTCCTTATAAAAGATCATCCAGAGTAAGTTGAATATAAAGTTAAATTTCGATCCAAGGCTGTAATTTTAAAGCTAGATTTCTTTTTTGAATTTATATAAAATATTGAAAAATGGATGCTAATTTTTAAATGTTGTCTCACTAATATTTAGAGAGAAACATGGAGAGGACTCTAGTAAAAGGATCAAAGTGAATAGATAATACTCAAAACTCTCTGGATATATTTTCTTTAATGTTGTTATTGGGATAAATTATTATCCATTAATTCTTGTGGAATAAAATTTACAAGTTTAATTGTACATTCTATATGATTATTATGTAGCTCTGGTCCATGACTATGGACATTTAAATAATTAATTAATGGATTTTTTATGATGATTTTTTTCTTTTGGATAATCAGTTCCAAAAATTGAAATAAAACATCCAAGATAATTGAGAGGATTGTGGACAGGTTCATTAATTTTGAAAGGAATATGTATAGTGTTAATGGAATTTTGGATACATGTGTCATTGCTGTTGTCATTTTCATCTTTAGGATTCCTAGCTTTCTTTCAAGTTTTCTTGGTAATTTCTTTTTTTCTCTTATTACTGTTTTATAAGTAGTAGTAATCCCACGCATTTGGAAAGTAAGTCAATTCCAGATACAGAAGCATCAGTTGAAGATGTACACTATGCCAATTCTTTTTCTCCTAATGTTATTGACTTATTTTTTAGGGTTGCAGAGTTTTGTATTTCCAGGAATCTGGATGTAGATTAGGTTTAGAATTTAAATTGATGCTTCGGATTTTTTGTTCTTAGCCCCGAAACATTAATTAGGCAAATTAAGATATGGAAATTAATTTAATAAAGTCTTTGCTTAAAATACCATGTCTATGGTGATGGTATTTGTGAAATAATCTTTGAAGATGATGAAAGAAATGCCAAAGGTTTTGGACGTTCGTCGTTGTTTCCATGTCCAGTTCCTCCATAAATGTTCCATTAAATGTGAAACTGACGAAAAAATTCATCAATCTATTTCCGCCAAGAAAGAGTTAGGGTTCAAAATAAGTCACTTTTGAATTTGAAAAAATAAATCTTCTTCTTACATGTCCATTATATATAATTTTATTTCCTCCTTCTCTTTGTGCACTTTATTAATAATTATTAATTGACACGTCTATGAAATCACAGAACTTGCTGCGTAAATAATAATTCCTACTCTTCTGTCCTGTCAAATTAAAAATTTGAGAGAAAAAAAATATATTTCAGAGTGGAGCAAATTTGATTATAAAGAGCTAAAAAAATATACTAGAAGATATTATTCCTTTAATTCGATTTCAGGATATCATAAACATATCAGCCGAGTTGGTTTTTTGGATCCTTTTTTCAAACCTTATATCTTATTGTGTCTCGACGTTAAACACGTTAAACATGATGTGTAAACTGGTCAATAGAATGATAATTAACCCCCAAAAAATTTATTTGCTCCGCTAAAAAAAACTATTTTACTATTCAAACCAATGGCCCTACCTCAAAACCAATGTGTTTTTGCTAGTATAAAGTATTCATAACGTTATGATCATACCGTACTGGATTTTAGGGTTAAAAAAAATCAGCGCATATGAATTATGCCATGCCAAAAACTTTTCTCTGGAATAACTATTGATAGCAACATGATTTGCAATCAATTAAAAGCTTACTTTGCCTTTTGCTAGTTGGATTGATAAAAAAAAAACACACCATATAATTTATTAAGAGATGACAAATATGGGTTTAAACTTTTATATCTTGGTAGTAGAAATGGTATAAATGTAGATACATTCAAATATATATATATATATATATATATATTTAACAGAATTCTTGTGCAATATCTTTCCACTTCATCATCTTGTTCTTGCACATTTCAGACAATTTTTTCAACAACTTTTTCAAAAGACTTTCCTCTCTTAACAGTCTTTCTTTCATTTCCTGGTGACGTCAAGGATCTTTTTTGGAAAAACTACTTTATTCAACGAATGCATCCTCAAGTTTTTTAGTGCTGCCCGATTTTTGTTAACGTTTTTCCTTTTTTGTTATTGTTTGATGATGATGGCAATGACGACGATTTTATAACTGGATATGTAAATTCTAATTCCAGGCTTCCAAATACAAAAAATCATTCCCATCTGGTACCATTTTGCCAACCGTTGAAATGGTAGTCCTTTTTAGGTTATCCTTGATGCATCAGAATCTAATAAACAAACCATTTATATAAATAAATATATTCATGTATCTAGTATAGCTTGTATACTAATTTAATTGTAAATGAATTTTTTTTAGATCTTTTTCATTAAACCAATGTTCTCATATCCCAGTTTATTATATGTTTTGTGGTGTTGCTAATGTACGTGCCAGTACATACGAATAAAGGATGGGTTTATGATAGTTGCTCGTGGCCACCAATACTACCATTATTCTTCTTGGCATTGTCATCGTCATCATTATTCATCGTTGTTATCATCATTGTCAGTCATTATTATTAACAAAAGAAACTTGGTTGGTTAATTAATGTGAGCTGAAAAAAAAAGCAAATGAGAAATTTAACATTATAAATTCAAGCAATTTTGGTTGTTAATATTGGTATAATGATGCATGTATAATTACAACCATTTTCTAATGCAAATTGCCCTACAGTTTGTATGATATCCATCAACTGCGTTTCCCCAGTCACAAAATTTACATCAATAGCAATAGTTTGATTTCGACGATGCTTCTAAAAATCCTGAAAGGTTCTAGAAATTAGTTACAAATTCAAAAATGAATAAATGTTCATAGTAGAAGTAAACAATCCTTTACTAACATGCACAGATGTTTTTATTCTGAAATAGTCCAATTCTGTCTGGCCCTGAAGAAACGAAATTCGAGGTTGATTGTTAAAAAAAACAACGTTAAGCAATTCCAAGCAAAATTCACCATATGCTCTCTAAATATCGCTAAATCTTTTCAAAGTGTAATCATTTCTTTTCATGTTCCAGGTGACGAACTTCTTAAACAATGCCATCTTTTCGAAACTATGAAAGATCTAAAGCATTACTGATACCCTCCTCATCTTCAAGAACACTTTTTTCGATATGTAAATGTTTGCTTAATACTGAGAAAAGGCTTTTGTTTGCCATAGAGAAAAATACATTTTTGACATGTTACACGAAAACATTAAAAACACTTGTAAACACTCGTGAAATTTTTTGTGAAACTTTATTATATTTATGTAATATATATATATATGTTAATTGCTTTTACTACTTTTAATTTGGCCAAGACCTCTCTAGTTTACGCTTTTCAATCTTGAATCACAGATTGATCAGTTTATATACAAGAAAATCCGAAATCAGGATCTCAAGCGAATCCCAAGAAGGCACTCTGCTCATAGTTACGTATATTTGACCAGGCGCGAACATATTTTCATCGATGTTTATAGTGACATTGAGGTAATGTCAATCCTTGAGTTTTATACACGGGAAGAGTGAAGGCATTCTCCAGAGGAAATTGTTGCCTTGATGCAGGGCTTCCATTAATATCAAAGTAAGTGGTTTCTTTTTGCACAGTCACCTTTGTGATATCGTGGGTTGTAGAAAGATCACTTCAACATTTTGAGGATCAGCCATTTTGGTTACCGCACTGTAAATTCCATTATCAAAATTTGTTGTTGAGGTGCTCCATTTTTGTGCCTTCTTGCAGAGGTTTATATAGCAGTTGAAGTGAAAATCTTCATTTTGATTCTGATTAAAGATGTTGTGGTTGATCGCAAGTGTAATGCTACTATTATTTTAGAGAGTTAATTAGTCTACTTAGTTGCGCCACAGCAATTATTATTTTATATCTACATGAAATTATGAATAATAAGGGCTGATTGATTCAAAAAACGTTGTTGATTCAAATTCTGAGAAGCATTAATTAGTAAAAACGCGTGTACTTTAATTTTTTTTATTATATGAAAATCAATCTTTGGCAACATATAGCTCTTTTATTATTTTATTTTTTATTAGATGGTGATAGAAGGGACTCATCTGTCAAGTATTATTTTTTATCATCATCTTTCCCATTATAGGCTATATATTTGACCATCTTTCATTATTTTCATTGATATGCTTCCATCGATAAAAGCAAAGTCTTCCACCTTTTTGACCATCTATTTCTCAAACAAGACTTTTATTAAATTTATTTAAATTCGTAAACAATTTCCTTTGTATGTGTGACTAATTAATAAAAAATAATTAGTGAATAAATTTTTTGCTCAACGCAACGAATAAAACAAAAATATTGATATAATAATAATATGACTGGCTTAATATCGATGCTCAGAACAATATATACACACCTCGCATTTGAATATAACGTGTAAAGCCAAATCATACATAGGACGCCATTTCGGCACTATGTGTCTCAACTTTCGAATTCAAATGCAACATAAAAAGCAAACCAATGCACCAATTTTTGGAGGTAGCAGGTCTATTTATATGATTTTGTTGTAATCCATTAGACTACTCGATCAATGCACCATCTGGCCATGAAATATTCTATTTTTATAAAGATTGCATTATTGATCATGAATACACGATAGGTTGCTAAGATGCTTTGCATTCGGTGCTAATCTTGATGCTCCAAACGAATATATGTGTATGTGATTGATGTCGTGTGATTTTATGATGTTATGACCCCAGAGCCATAACGCTAATCTGTATTTCACAAAACTCACTGTTACGTCTTCATTTAAAAACTTGTTATAAATAAAACTAATATTTGTTAAAAGTTTTTTGGGGTGCGTTCTGCAACTGCAGCTATTTTTTTTTTATATTTTTTTTTATTATATATATATATATATATAACGCGATTAAATTTGTGAAACATCGAAATCCTTTTTTTTTAAAAACAAACAAATCAACAAAATTACATACTGAAATTAATAAATTTTATTTCTCCAAAAATGTCATCAATAAACTTTTCATCTATTGAAAATATCACAACACTGATTAGTAATCTTATTGATTCCAACAAAGATGTTTTGCCTTTAAAACATATCAGTAAACTTGTAAATGATCTAACAAATTTATTGATTGATTCAAATTTTTATGATGTAGAAATTAAAATTGGAGTAGACAAAAAAATTTTTAAGGCTCATTCAAACATCTTGAAAGCAAGATCTTCATACTTTAAGGCAGCCTTATCAAATAACTGGATTAAAAGGTCTGAAAATGGTATCATTTTATTTGAAAAAGAAAATATATCTTCACGTGTATTTGAAATTCTTTTAATGTAAGATTAATTTATTTATTTAGTTTAATTTGTTAAATAATTTATTAAATGATTTTTTTTTTTTTTGAATAAAATTTCTAAATTATTATTAACATTACTTTTATTATTATATTGTTTTTTTTTAAAGATATATTTATAATGGAATTATTGATATTAATAATTTAAGTTTTTTTAATACTGTCGAGCTTCTTGTGGCATGTGATGAATTAGATTTTAATGAATTAGTTGATGAATTACAAAATATCCTTATTGCAAATGAAGAAAAATGGATTCAACATTGTTTATATTATCTTTATCAATTTTCATCAATATATCAATCATTTAGCATACTTAAAGATTACTTTGAAAAAATGATCAATAAAAAACCAGGATTATTTTTAAAATCATCAGGTTTTAAAAATATTGGTAAACCTATGCTCAAGTTTTTATTAGAAAAAGATGATTTAGAAGTAGATGAAATTGATGTTTGGGATCATATCATTCAATGGGGAATTGGGAAAATTAAAAATTTGGAGGAAAAAGAAAATATTTCAGAGTGGAGTGAAGTTGATTATGAAGAGTTAAAAAATATATTAGAAGATATTATTCCTCTAATTCGATTTCAGGATATCACCAATGAAAACTTTACTGATAAAATTATGCCATATCAAAAACTTTTTTCTGAGGTTTTTTGGAATAACCTATTATGCTATTATTTAGTTCCTAATAGACAACAATATACTTTACAATTATTACCATCAAGAAATTCAATTATTGAATCATTGACAATCAATCAAAAGCTTCCTTTGCTTTTTGCTAGTTGGATTGACAAAAAAAGTCCACCATATAGTTCATTTAGGGAAGTCAAATATAAATTTAAACTTTTATATTGTAGTAGTAGAGACGGTTTAAATGAAGTTATATTCCATCAAAAATGTGATAATATCAACAGAACTCTTGTAGTTGCTAGGATGCAAAATTCTAATCAAATAATTGGTGGCTATAATCCACTTAATTGGAATGGAGTTATGAGTGTGTTCAAAAGAACAACTGACAGTTTTATATTTAACATTAGTGATAGAAATGATATTAATACCGCACAATTTAGTTATGTTATTAACAATAATTATGATTATGCAATTTGTTGTACCTTTCATTCTTTACCTACTTTTGGTGATGTCAATAATATTAAGTTTAAAACGGATGGTAGTATTGGTGTTGATACTGTTATTTTTACTGGTTTTGGTGATGATAGAAATACTAGAGTTTCAAGGACTTATAATGATATCAATATAGTAGACAATAGCAGATATGATGTATTACAAGTTTTTCAAGTAGTTGATTAAAAAGTATAACTTACTATTTCTTGAATAACAACTTCAACATTATTTTTTTATTTTATTATTATATCATGTGGAAGAAATTTACACCACATTATAAGTATAATGGTTTTTTTATAATAATAAAAATCAGGATCATTATTTTATATTGAAATTCATTTGGTGTTGATTCATATTTTTTTTTCTTGATGCAAAATAATATACAAAAAAACTATTATTTTCAAAATATTAAAGTTTATAATACTATAAATTATAATAAAAAGGTAATGATCAAAATTATAAATCATTTTATTCATTTTATTTGAACACTCAATTTCATAATTTGAGTAAACCTTATTTGAATAGAAACCCTAGATTATAGCATCCATCTAAAGACATCAAATATTATGTCACATACCAGTTGGCAACTAGATATTGAACCTAATTCAATAAATTCTTTGCAAAGGCCTCAGACATTCATTGTTGTTCCTGTTCCCATTCCATCCAACATGATTCTATTAAAAGTGGAAAAAATTTGCCATAATAAAATCAATTGATTTCTACCAAGAAAGAATTAGAGCCCAAAATAAAACATTTTCGAATTTAAAATAAATATCTTTGTTTATCTTAATGATTTCTTTCTGTATATTAAAAAAGCCTAATTTTCAAAATTCTTTAATGCAAGATTTAATCTATTGATTGCACTTTCTTTCTTGCATATTATTCATTATCCATTATGTATAATTTATCTTGGTTTCTTTACCTCCTTCTCTCTGTACACTTAATTTAATCATTGATTAATTACTATTGACCAATTAGGAATCAATTGATTACATATGACCACTGTTCAAAATAATAATAGGAAAATCCATCGGTTCTGTGGCTGAATATATAGATCTTCTTAATTTGGAAGTGGCACCTATGATCTACGTGAACCTTTGCTAATTCAAGTTCTAAAAAATCATGCAGATCATAGATTCCACTTCCAAATTAGGAAGGTCCTATATATAATAATAAATTTTATTCCTCCAAAAATGTCATCAATAAGTTTTTCATCTTTTGAAAATATCACAACACTGATTAGTAATCTTATTGATTCCAACAAAGATGCTTTACCTTTAAAACATATCAGTAAGCTTGTAAATGATCTAACAAATTTATTGATTGATTCAAATTTTTATGATGTAGAAATTAAAATTGGAGTAGACAAAAAAATTTTTAAGGCTCATTCAAACATCTTGAAAGCAAGATCTTCATACTTTAAGGCAGCCTTATCAAATAACTGGATTAAAAGGTCTGAAAATGGTATCATTTTATTTGAAAAAGAAAATATATCTCCAAGTGTATTTGAAGTTCTTTTAACGTAAGGTTAATTAAATTCAATTAGTTTGAATTTATTAAATAATTTAAGTGATTTTTTTTTTTTGAATAAAATTTCTAAATTATTAACATTACCTTTATTATTATTTTTTTTTTCAAGATATATTTATAATGGAATTATTAATATTAATAATTTAAATTTTTTTGAAATTGTTGAGCTTCTTGTGGCAAGTGATGAATTAGATTTTAATGAATTAGTTGATGAATTACAAAACTACATTATTACAAATGAAAAATGGATTCAACATTACTTATATTATCTTTATCAAATTTCATCAATGCACCAATCATTTAATACACTTAGAGTTTACTTTGAAAAAGTAATTAATGACAAACCAGAATTATTTTTAAAATCATTGGATTTTAAAAATATTGATAAACCTATGCTTAAGTTTTTATTAGAAAAGGATGATTTAGAAGTAGATGAAATTGATGTTTGGGATCATATCATTCAGTGGGGAATCAGACAAATTAAAAATTTGGAGGAAAAAAAAAATATTTCAAAGTGGGAATGGAGTGAAGTTAATTATAATGAATTAAAAAATATACTAGAAGATATTATTCCTTTGATTCGATTTCAGGATATCACCAATGAAAACTTTACTGATAAAATTATGCCATACCAAAAACTTTTTTCTGAGGTTTTCTGGAATAACTTATTATGTTATTATTTGGTTCCTAATAGACAACAATATGCTTTAAAATTATTACCATCAAGAAATTCAAATATTGAATTAAAAAGTTCAAAAATTGAATCATTAATAATCAATCAAAAGCTTACTTTGCTTTTTGCTAGTTGGATTGATAAAAAAAACACACCATACACTTCATTAAGGGATGTCAAATATGAGTTTAAGCTTTTATATCGTAGTGGTAGAGATGGTTTAAATGAAGCTATATTCCATCAAAAATGTGATAATATTAACTGTACTCTTGTAGTTGCTAGAATGCAAAATTCTGATCAGATAATTGGTGGTTATAATCCACTTAATTGGAATGGAGGTAATTTTTTTGGGGAGTTCAAAAGAACAACTGACAGTTTTATATTTAACATTAGTAATAGAAATGATATTAATACTGCACAATTTAGTTATGTTGTTAATAATGATTATGATCATGCAATTTGTTGTACCCCTTATTTTTTACCTATTTTTGGTGATGTCAAAAATATTAGGTTTAAAACTGATGGTAGTATTAGTATTGGTATTGGTATTGGTGATAGAAATAGAGTTCCAAGGACTTATAATGACATCAATCTAGTAGATAATAGTAGATATGATGAATTAGAAGTTTTCCAAATAATTGTGAATTGATTAATTAAAATTAAAATAATATAACTTATTAATAATGTAATATTTCTTGAAGGGTTAATTGGATGTAAAACTTTTAAATAATTATATTAGATTATCAAATGAATAAACGTGGTCACAAGGCCTCACTTAGCATTAAAAAAAAAACAAAATATATTATTTCCTCAATGCCATTCAATGTCATTTTTATTATTTATAATCATGTTACAATCAAACAATATTATTATTATAGCTATAGTTATGAGCATTTTTTGTAATAAAAAAATCAGGATTATTATTTTTATATTGAAATTCATCTGGTGTTGGTTCATATTTAACTAAAAAGTAAAAATAATTTAATTATTTTTTTTTCTTGATATAAAATAATAAATGAATGAATCAACAAACACACTTATGAACGGAAAAAGACACTCACTATAAAATCCAAGATTATTTCCAAAATTTAATTGACAGATTAAAGTATTATAACTTGCTAGACCCATAAAAATCAATGTAATTATCACTGTATAACAAACATAGAAAATTAAATTAAAAAAAAAAAAAAAAAAATTTAATAAAAAAAAGTACTTATTTATTTACCTATGACAAGATTAGTTTGAAAAAATATATCAAAATTAATACATTCTTGTACAGATTCATAATAATTATCACAATATCTAAATGTCCACCATCCCATAAAAATGGCTTGACATAAATTACTTATATGAAACGTGACCAACATTCTATTATTTTCATTTCTAACCTATATTAATAACAGGTAGTGTTAGTTATGGTATGAAAAAATTAATATAATATATATATATAAGTACTTACGCCAATAACCATTAAAATCAAATAGACAACTAGTAAAGCGTTGAACGGAATCAGGTTCAAAAAATCGAAAGGTCGAGAACTAGCTTTAAGGTTATTTAATGATTCATCCCACTCTAGAATCGAATAGATCACAGACCACATTCCTGTCAAGATTATTATACCATGGAGAATTGGAAATTGCCGTTGATATTTTGCATGCATTTCTAAATTTTAAAAATATCGTTTAGCTATTAGAACTTGTATTATTTATATGGCCACTTTTTAGTTTATTATTATTGGGTTTCTTACGTTTTATTTTCACGTTTTTAGTCAATTCATATTCGGAAACTATGGGCCATATTCTAAATAAATATTTCGTGTGAAAAATTTTAAAAAATAATTATTAGACTTTCTTCCAAAAATAATTAATTTCTCGCTTACTTCTCTTTCCATAAATAATAAATAATCCAAAGATACCAGATTTGTAACAATGACAAGAATGATAATAGAAAGATGCCGCTTAGTTTGAATGATGAACAATTAGTGCTACAATAATTCGGCATGAAATTAAAGACGAATATCCCCATTATTATCGGGACCATATTTACTATAGTATATACAATGCTGTGTAATATTGTTTTCTCGTGAAACTTTTTTGGAAAAGTAAAGAAAAATAAATAAAAAAATTAGTTATCATTGAAAACTTTGAGAAGTTGAACATAGATTTTTTCCGCGTCAAACAATATATATATCAATAAAATATTTACAACTATAAATCCTGAACTTATAGGAAACAAGACCATCAGGAAGAAAGCTGAGTTGTGATTTAATTTACGTGAAAGTATTAAAAAACTTAACAACATTATGGAATATCCAATCATGTGTATTATATAAGTGATTAAGAATAAATTTTCATATTTATTATCGTATTCTTTCAGCCACTTAAATTTATTGAGGTTGATTTTACTAATATTGAATTTCATTTTTTTTAAAATATGGGCGAAAGAAAAAAAGACAAACGAGTTAAAAGAATGAATGAATGAATGAATGAATGAATGAATGAATGAATGATTAAGAAATTATATAAAAAAGAAGACACTAATGATCATATAAATCAATATCTTCTAAGGACCAGCCAATTTCTTAATCTTTTTTGAGAAAAGAGAAAAATGAAAAATTTTCAGTAATTATTTTATTATTTATCATTTTATAACCATGAAAATTGCAGCACGAAAATTTAATTTGTTTGTTAATCATTACTATATATGGAAACAAAGAAAGTTTCAATATAGTTTTTTGTGAAATCCCAAATATCTCCACAAAGAATTTTATTTTTTGATTTGTTGATTGTCTTTTTCCTATTATATTTTAACTTTTTTAACGCGTTTTTTTTCGAACCAATATTATGATGATGGTAATGAATACTAATAAAAATATTATGAAAAAGGTTAATAATAATAATAGGTCTGAACTTGGTGAATTTCCAGCACCTCTATCATCACTTTCATCAGTTTATTATGAAGATAAAAACAAATTAATCAAAGCCCAATTAAATCGTATCCACTTTTGGTCAAGAAATTCGTCTTCACTGCCAACACCTCTACCACAATCACAATCATCATCTTCGTCTTCAAAATCAGCATTATCCGGAAATAACCAATTGACAGCTTCTAGTTTCTCAGATATTGGATTACTATTTAGATATGATTCACAACAAATTTCCATATGTATTCATAAAATGAGGGAAGAGATCGTGATACCGTTTAGTGAAATTGTCGAGTGTAGATTTATTGATGAGAGACAAATGATGATGAGTCTGAGACCTAGCTTTGTGAGACGTGTGAGTATTTAAATATATTTCATTTATTATATAAGGTGTAAACATTATTTACTCATCTCATAATATTAATAATCTTGATAGTGTTACACTCATAGTACAAAATATCCATACAAGAAAGAACCTAAAACCTTGAATCATAATGAGGCATTATCATCAATAAGAATGACAATCAATGATTATTTTTCAAACGTGGAATATTTATTAATTAAAACATATCATAAATTAGAATTAGAAGTTTTCAATGTTGAAGGATTTGCTACAGCAAACATTAATACTAACATTAATGTTGATACTAATAATAATAATACAACTATTAGTGCTAATACTAATGATGATCATAGTAATGACAACGATGATGATGACAATAACAACAATGATGATAACGATAATGTTAGTAGAGGCGATGATAATGCTGGAAAGGAATTATCACAAAAACAACAAGAACAACCAAATTTACATGAAATTGATTTATTCTTCTCGTCAACACCTTCATCACCATTATCTTCAAAATTACAGGAACCATTGAAACCTATGATTCTAAACAATTCTACAACAAAATCTTTGTCAATCAAAATTTAAAATTTATCTTTTCATAAATGTTAACGCTACATTATTGTATTTTATAGTTATTTTCGTAATGTATTGATATTATAGTTATTCTTATAATTATTGAAAAAAAATTTTGGTTATATGTTGGTAGAATTTAAAAAATAATTTTATTAATATTTTAGTAGAATTAAAAAATAATCTTTGATATATATATTATTATTGTGTTAAAATAGGATCATGTGATTTGAAAAAAAGCATTCAATTAACAAGTTTACAAATGAGGAAGCAAAGTGAGTCATCGAGATTTTCATTTACGCTTCCCACAATTTCTTTTATCCTTTTGCTTTATAGTTTCTTGATATTCCACAACATCACCTTCTTGTTTAAAATACCTCCAAGCAATATTCCTTTTCTTACTTCCTCTTCATAAATCATTTATTTTTCATGATTAACAGTATTTAAATTATTCAAAGACGATGATGCTTTTATGCTTAGAGCAGGACTAACTACACACAAATATAACAATCATGATTGTCTTAATATATTAATTTCTGATTGGATAATCTTTTGATAGGTGAAAAATGAAAAACAATTTTTATTTATTTATTACGTTGATAATTAATTGAAAACAAACTTTCTAATGATTTTTTTTTTACATACTTTTTTTACAAGGTATTTTTTTATTACATCAATTCTTTCAAGCCATTTTGGTTCAAGAGATTTATTCAACCTTTTGTACTCATCAATAACATGCCTATGTAATCAAAATCAAAAGATAATATATCCAGAGAATCCTACAAAGGTGCCCTACTCATCGCCACATATATCTGTCCTGTGGTGAACATATTTTCATCAATGGATACAGTTGAGTGTGGTAGTGTAAGGCCTTGTGTCTTGTGAACAGTGAGTGCAAATGC